TGCTGAATGTGGTGCAGGCAATTTTGAAAGCAGAGCTGTCAAGTTTCTTTGCACAGCAGGGCTTCCAGCACCCTTAACATGTCCTGGAGTACCTTGTGTTACGCTCTGAAGCAAAACCTGGGATTCAAACCTGCATCCGTCCAAGTGAAACTCCCAGGATAGCACAGTTGCCTTCTGCTGGGCCTGTGTAACGTGAGAAATTGCATGTCCCTGAGCATGCACAGATCCGCTGAGGTAGAGAGGGATCCCAAAGGGTGATGCTGCACATCTAGCTCATCCTAGAGTTTGCAGTGGTACTTGGGGGACTCTGGCCACTGCAGAGGGTCCTGGGTGATGGGACATCTCTGCTTTAACTTTGCTAACAGCAGAAAGGGCAGAGGAACAAGATTTTTTCCACAGGGGCTGTACAAACTCAGTAGTGCATTTGGGTGCTGCTTTCCCAGGAACCCAGTACGCGCTTGGCTGTGCTGTAGCACCAGAGCTTACATGGGGACCCTGTTCACTTTCCCTTTGTACCTTGGAGGTGGTAAACTTGGTCAGAGCACTAGGTGCTCCTCACTGCAAGGAGAGATACGGTCCAGTTGAAGGGAACTGCAAATGGTATTTAGGAGCTCACTAAGAGGGTAAAAACCCACCAGCTCACTCCTGCAGAACCAGATTCTAGAGCTCAGCTCCTCTCGTGCCCCTTGGATGGGATCTTGAGCTAGCATCCTCGGAACAGCAGTGTAGGGAGGTGGAGATGCTGCACTGCACTAAGCACAAGAAGAGGCAAGCAAGTGGGCCTCAGTGTAGCACTCGTCACACACTTCATGGCTCAGTTCATGGACTGTAATTGCAGGTATTCATATACTCTACATCACTGGGCAGGACTCTGCACGCACACATGCATGCCCAGACGCACACACACCACACCCACAATTGCCCACACATCCTCACCAAAACAACTGAAAATAAAAGTGATCTCAATCTCAAGGAGTGGCCTGGCTGTTTGATTTGTTTTTCCCCTTCTAATGTCTCCTTGGGCCCTGCCTCTAGGAAGGGTCTGTGCCTAATTGTAGATCTGGGGTTTTCTAAATTTAGAAGCCAGAGATTTTAGGAGCATTATTAAGAAATGACCCACACAGTCATCAAGAGTGCATCTGAGTGTGAAGCCCCTTCTTTGTATTAATATCCATGAACCATTGCCTACTCCAGCAAAACAGGTGATTTCTTGGGAACATATTTTCCCCCATGGCACTTAGGGCGTTTTGTGGGTTTGTTGAGGCTACCTCAGTGGTTCTCATTGGTACTGTTGTTTGCTTCTTGGAAACCCTGGCTTCCTACAAACCATGCTCAAGTGCCATGTTGTTCAGAGGTGAGAGCAGCCAGACAGGTGGCCCTGTTTGCTAATATAAGCATTAGTGACAGGGCCAGGAGGGTGAACTAAAAGTGGAGAGTGAGTACCCTCCCATACAGCCCTCCCTGAGCAGCTGTGTGTGACTCTGCTCCCATCACCACCCTCATCTGTGGGAGAAGTCGAGGCAAACCTCTGTGGGAACTCCAATGAACTTATTAGATGCTGTGCAGCATGTCTAGAGGACTGGGTGGCAGTACCTGCAACAAGGTGCTGGTGTGCTGGGGTGAGAAAGGGAGGCAAAATGGGGGGAATGGCTGGGCCCCAGCTACATTAGGCAGGTGAGGAGATGCCAGGCTCATTAGGGGCTGGCAGATGTGGAGATGCAAGGGTTCTGGCATCAGTCAGGTGGGTACCACACATACATTGGCCCCCATCACTGAAGAACAGAAGGAAAATCTCTGAGGATGTGCCTGGACTGTTTCAGAGCTGTGGGAAGCATCAGCAGAATATTAACTGGCCCAGATGGATAGACAGGCCTCTTGCCTTCACCTTCATCTGGCCAAGACCCAGAGGCCTCACATGCCTCTTGTACCATCTACCTCACACCCCATTCTGCTTGTTGACTGTAGATTAAGGGTTAATATGGAGAAGAGTATGAGGCAACTTCCCTGGACAGGGAGGGGATGGAGGCCGGCTGAGTTACTCCAGCAGCTGCCCATCTCCACCCTATGGGTGTTCCAGGTCTGTCTTAGGTATGAAGTCAGGAGAGGAACATGGAAACATAAGGGGTGTGTTCCGTGCATTCTTCCCATGGGACGGCCGAGCTTCCAGAAAGCTGCTGTGACCCCCAAACCAGAAGGCTGTTGGGGATGGGGGACGGCAGGAGCATGAGGTGCTGCCGCAGAGCAGCGAGGCCCAGACCCGCCCTCCAGCCCGCCGGAACGGGCAGGACCGAGGCGGCCGGGCATGCGTGGCGCGGAGCCAGGACCCTTTCCGTGTCGGCGGGGCCGGGGCCGCG